TTTAGGAATTATGTTCACATCTGACAAAAAAATTGAGGAATGCTTTTAAATTTGCGTGAAATCATATCTTTTGTTATAATAAACATTCTATCAGTTTCTATGGCTATTTTTAAAATTATGCTTCTGAGAGCACCCAGTTCCTGTATTAAAAATCAGAAACAGTCATGTACATTTTCAAGTTTTATCCTTATATGTTCAAGTATGTCCTTCACATTTGGCACTTTGATTTATTAGACAATCTTAACATTAAGGACTTTAAGCAAAGCGGTGCTGGGTTTCAAATGCACTATGCGCGGAGTCCACAATGAATTAATTCCACTAGAGCACCCAAGTTATCGTTATTTGAATACTAGTTTCTTTCATAAGATTCACAGAATCGTCAAGTTTTCAGATCGGAATTCAGCTGAGTTCAGAAGCAAATGGACTTAGTTTCTTATTGCCTATGTATGTATAGCTGACCTGTTCTTTGCTGAATCCACATAGAAATATTAAGTGATTTTAATACTAGGAATTTTGAAATGGTTAATAAAGCATGCTTAAGAGCAAGAGATGATGTTTTAATATAGTGGTTTATATCTTATATGACAGAATCAAAATTCTTTTGATTTAGTGAGCATGTTTTGGTAAATCAATTAGATGCTGGAATAAATCAGACTGAAAGGGGAGTTCTCCTGCTATCACTATGAGTGATTTTAAGAAAAATAGAAAATGTTTTCTGCTTTTTATATTTGCTATTATTCTTAATGCTTCAGGAAGTCACTGAATTTTCACTCACTTGATTTTATTAAATATTAATTTTTGACAAACAAAAATAAAAATTTGCTATTAAGTTGACTTTAATAGTAACCAAAGTCTCAAGCAAGAGACAAGGTTTCTATATATGTAGATAGGAATGTGTTGTAGGACATGGAGACTACATTTTCCTTCTTAGTGTCTTGATATTCTAGTTAGATTGACTGATCAACTTCTCTGTTCATAAAAAAGCACCTACACGTACAAACTTTAATGAATCAGTTGGTTATATAGGGGAAGAGAGGTAGAAACAGGAAATGTAAGGAAGATGAGCCGGACAGAGAAACTGTGAGGGAGAAGACATGAGAGAAAAGAAGTTGAGTAAGCAACAAGGACCAATAGTGTCCCTGGTGGTGGTTGGGATAACACAATTAACTCTACTCACCCAGGTCAAGCTTCACACTTTGGAACAGTGCAGCGAATGTGGAATAAAATGCGTGCAGGTTTCTGTCATCACTCTGGCACATAACTATCTCACATAGTACAGTTTCATACCAAATTCATCTATAACTTCAAGAGGAAAAAATAAAACCAACAAGTGCAGCATTCAGCAATACCCTATCATAAAGTAAGGAGGTCTAATTGAGCTATGTCTTCATATCCTGCTATTTGTACAAATAAAAGACTACATCTTGATGCAAAATAAACACAAAAGCACTGTTGTGACTATAACAGGGAGTCATATACTAATTTATATAATAAGTGGTTGTGCACGCTTTATTCAAGATTATGGCTGCAAGAAATGGCATGAATTGCTGGGTGTGTTTAATGCTGGATTATAGCAATTTGAAACATGTCAAACACATGGCTAATGCCTCATGCTTCACTCATTCTTGCGTAAACCTGCATAGCCACCATCCATTATACCCTTGGTAACAACACAATTCTGCAAGTAAATATTGTTACACTAAGTAACCTTTCAATTCAACTTGTTTAGGAAGAGAAAATGCAATCTTGTGCAGTCAGTTCCAGTGTCAGTTTAATGTTTCAAAAGGGAAGTGGTGTAGAGAAAAAGTATCTGTGTAGTGAATTGCTAAGGGGAAAAAAATCAAGAAAGAAAGAAAGAAAGGAAGGAAGGAAGGAAAACTTAATGCAGGAGAGAAAAGTAAAACTGTATCATTCAGTGAAAGATCTGGAGTTCATTTCTGGTGTGGCTGCAAAGCTGTGTCTGAAGGAAAACTCCAGGATTTAATGTACACTTCAGACAAACAGCGAGACGTACTCCCAAACCCAACTTCTTCTTTAATGACTTGGAATTTATTTTCACTGATTTTTTTGTAAAATGTTTGTAGTAGGATTGAAAAGAATGAATAATTTAGTTTGATATGTTTGGGATCATAAGCAAATCCACTCTGAAAGAATATGACGATTTTATAATTATTTAAAATATCTTTAAAAGGTAAACAGCACTTCAGATTTTGCCAGAATTTTTTTTTTCTAGTGAGATGTGAATGTGCACAGGTGACTAGAGAAAAACCTTACCAAACACAAAAGAAATAATCTCTGCCACCTTTGAAGAAATGTCTCCTTCAAAGTGGACACACTAGATTCTCTTCCTCATGTGCAAAGGAGATTGTCATCTCATTGTGCAGGTCCCTGCCCCCCATTTTCAATGTTGACATTGGTCAGGCTCTCCTGTTTTGTAGACCAAACTACTATTATTGTCACAGTTTTCTTAAGCATGATTTTACTTAGTCTTAGGTGACTGAACTTAAAATGTAAATCACAATTTATACTCTAGGGCTTCATAAAATCAAAAATTCCACAAGGGATATTAAAATTCTTTAGTTAATAGGAATTGGAAGTTATATAGGTCTTTCTTCATTATTGTAATAAAGATTTAGACACATGACTCTCTGCTTGTGAAGTATTCTTAATTATTTGATGACCTTGATTATAACAGTAATGTGTGCAGAATTCTTTAATTCATCTGATTGATCCTGACATAAAAACACAAAGGTTAGTATCAAATGCTGCACCTGCGTGCGACATCTATAAAAAACAGTTATCCAATTTTATTCTTTGTGTTGGAAATTCCAGATGAGATAATAAATATTTCAAATAAGTTTGAGTGATAAAAGAAAACTGCATATTTATAAACATGGTATTACAGGTTTACCATTCATAGTAAAATTTAAATGTAATATGTAGAAGTTATCTGTTTCTGTAGTTGAAGAAGACTGAAATTATAATTCTCATCTAACTAGTAAAGGCAATCAGCCCCTTTCTCTGAATATTTTAAACATTGTGCATGTAAAATTTATGCCTAATTTGAATACTTATTAGCCGCCTAATCTCAGAAAAGAATATTAGCTTTGTTTTTTTTTCTTAAAATTCCATCAGTGTGTATCAGTTTTATGTGTATGATTATTTTCTTTGTTAATGTTAAATAAAATGTTTAATAAGACTTATTTATTCACAAGCTCATTTGGCTCGAGAGTTGCTTGCTGTATAGTTATGACAAGTGTCTTTTAAGGTCATATTTTGATGTTGTTGTATTTCTTCTTTGATCTGAGCAGTCCTGAGTTTTGTGTGTAGTTTCTGTAGCACTAACTGGATTAATTGATCCAGCTCCTTCACTGTCGGTCTGTCTTAAACCAAAACGTGTTTCCGCTGACGTTACAGAATTATGGAAATAATATAATACTTTAGCAGTTGATGAAAATAGCTGTTAAGTTATCACAACCGTTGATTTTTATAATTATTGTGACGTTCATTTTATCTATTGATGATATATTTGAGCTTCTATGTGTGACTAATATGTATATATGGTCATGGATTACATTTTGCAAGGTATTTGAGGAAAAGGATTTTTCTCTGACATAAAAAAATATTAAGTTTTTATTTACCGTGCAATAAATACATCACAAAATTTTAAAGGACATGTCTTAAGTAAAATAAAATCAATACAAATAATAAAACTTCCACGCACGAAAAAAAAAAAACCTGAACAGTGAGTTTAATGTCTTCATTACTTTGGGCTAAGTCCACTGTCTGGCTAGTTCTCTTATGGAAGTCACAACACAATCAGGTTGCATCCTGAAATTCTGTCCATAGACATAGAAAGAAGGGTGTCTATTAGAATGTGGCATAGGATTCATGTTTTTGAGAGCCAAAACTGATCTCTCTAAAGCTCACATTGGAGAGGTGCTGTGAAATTCTGGTTGTAAGAGCACATTGGTTCTTTATTTACTGCACAGATTTCCACTGATCTTGGCAGGACACCTCATTGCTATCCTGGAAGTACAGTATATTTATGCAGTGAAAATGATAAAACATTTATTACTGTAGAGAAGGTAATATGCATAATTTATGCTGTTTTTAGCACAATCATTAGTGATATTCTTGATAGATTTTATTTCCAGCTTTCATATCTAATACATGCCTGGAAAATTAATTTTATATCTTTCATTTATTTGCCTATGTTAAAATTGAGTTTTAAGTCATCTTCAAGTGAACAGTTTGATTGCTGCTCATGCGGAAGCTTAATTACTTCCCAGGAAGGACAGTATTAAATGTTTTAAATGTCAGAAAAATAAATGAACATGAGCTGTTTGATTAAAAAAATAGGCAATATCTGACGTGTTTGCAGCAGGAGCTTCTTCTTAAAATGCCTCCAAGGCAAAATTTTATTTAGTCACCAAAAAAAAAAAAAATAGAAGAAGAAGAAGCCCATTATACTATTTATCATTGGTTGATACCATATGATTTGTAATACCCTTACAAAATTTTAATTTTGTATGATTAGCTGTGCATCATTAAACAACAGCCTTGCGTAAGATGTGCTGTAAAATTCTGACAGAATCAAGATAGTGAATATTTAAAATAAGGCTGTATAGTCATCCATGGTTGTCAAAGGTAGATAATAGGAAACAGAACAGAGTATGCAATCGTGCCTTCATTTAAAGGTTTTATAGGTAGACTTTAAAATGTGGTCGTTCATAAGTGCTATTCACCATGGTACACGCATGGTATGTTACTTTGGCTGTTAAAGGTAACCACACAAAAATTACTTATAGAAACCATAATTTCAGTGATTAGTGTTTCAGTGAAAGCTGGATTTGTATTGCTTTTCTGGGTAAATGACTATTCAAGTCCCCCCACTCCCCCCAAGGATGCTGCCTGTGTAATTGGCAGAGAGGGACATCTTGATAACGGAAGTGTGAAGGTGTAACGTGTGCTAATTGATACTTCTTAATCACTTTTAGGTATTAAGTCATGATGCAGGAATCTGCGACAGAGACAATAAGCAACAGTTCAATGAATCAAAATGGAATGAGCACTCTAGGCAGCCAATTAGATGCTGGCAGCAGAGATGGGAGACCAAGTGGTGACACCAGCTCTGAAGTAAGCACAGTGGAGCTGCTGCATCTGCAACAACAGCAGGTAAGTTTTGTTTGCCCGGACGCTTCCTTAAAACAAATCCGCCTGCTTCCTTGAACCTGAAAACGGATTCGTAGCAAACAGAGTATGTTGTTTTAAGCTAACAGATGCTGAGGATGTATTGTTGTTTGGAACATGATTGAAGGATGAGTGAAGAGAGGGTTTTCATTAGTTACGTCATCGCAGCACCTGAGTGCCCTTCAGGTGTCAGGATATTAATTAAGTACACAGGGTAATTTTTTTTTTTTTTTTTTTTAGATTGGTTCTGCAAAGCTTTGAAACAAATATTTTCCAGCTTCTAGTTTACTGTCTGGCATTGTGCTGCAAGATGTGGTACTTAGTTTTCCACCAGAGGGCCACATTACTTGATACTTGTTCATACAATGAATTTCTTCCAAGTCTCAGTTAAGGTGAAAAGGGCCACAAGGACTTTTCAAAGCGTGAATGCTGACCACTGATAGTTGCAGATATTAGCTATTGATTAATTAATCTGTGAAGAGGTTGTGGAACCTGCAAAAACTTTTATCACTCATCTGTGCTGCTTATTTGGAAGACTCGTTACAGTTTATTTTTAATATAGATGTGTGTGTATGTGTGTGTGTGTGTGTATTAATAGATTTAAAGGGCTCTTTTGTGTGTTTTCCTAGTCTCATAAAAATGCTATAGCACTCTGTAAATTAGAAAAAAATTAACAATTAAAAAATTTAAATATACTTTTAAGTAACTTTATATTTTATCTGCATGAGAGATGTGTTGGTTTTTATTTCTGTTTTTTTATTATTATTATTGAAGAAATTTCTTCCTAAACAAAGCTTGAGTGACTCCATTCCCCCCCCTTACGCAAGTTCATAGCCACCGATAACAGAACCCTGTCAAAGCATGCACCTAGACTGGGCATGGAAAAGAAGCCTGCAGGAAAGATTCTGATGGTTTTAAAAATAAAGGTATTTCTTTGAGCATCTGAATTGCACTCAGACTAAATGCAGGTTGGGAAATGATTGAAATTAAGCCATCAAAATAATGAATTATTACTAAAGTGTCTCAAATTCAATGCAGTATCATTTAGATTTTGTTAGATATAATGAGATAAATGCATCTCAAAAGGTAAATAAATGCCCTCACTAAAGTAAAATTTAACAGAATCATTATTTGTAATAATAAAAACATTTAAAAAGTTATATGGATTGAATAATTCTTAACCTTTTGGCAGAGTCATGAATAATCTTTGAAAGAGTGAGGCACAGTACTTTGAATATGGTACATATATTTGTGAATTGTGTCTATTTTCTATAGACTATTATCAGATAATTTTTATTTTATTTTGAAATATTTATTTGCAAATGCCGTGGGGGTTAGATGTGAATCAAAAACCCCAAATTAGCCTACTTTAAAGATTTGTGAATGCAGTTTTCAAAACAATCCTTTCTTCCTTTTACGTTTCTACAGAAAATACCATGCCAGAGAGATGCCTTAATAGTCTCATTACTTCCCCTAAATAAACATCTTCAGAATTATTAGGCAGAATCTGCTGCATTCTGAGTTTCCAGGAGACTGCATTCCTAAAACAAGTGCACACAATGGGAAATGCACATCATAGCTAAGTCCTAGCAGAGGACAGACTTAAAGGGAGTTAGCAAGAAATGGCTTTTTCTTCACAGCTCTCACTAGAGTTTAAACAAACAGACAACAGAGTAAATTCTATACTTGACAGCACCCCGGAAGCACCCTGGTTTTAGCCTGTGGGGTGTGCTTATGGCCTCAGTTCGGTAATTACTTTGTTCTGTACACGTAATTGATGTAAACGGTAAGCAGCAGTCAATATTAAAGTTTTACCATTTGTGACGTAGAAAGTGGAGTCCTGTTTCCACTTAGAGGAAGGTCTCAGTGGGATTTAGCCCGATGGGTGTGAGGGAAGCTTACACAGACACTTTGGGGTGCCTATAGGAAAATAATATATTAAAAGGTAAATCTGCAAAGCCCTTCCAAGCAGCCAGTTTGGGGTTGTGATTAATTCGCTTTCTAAAACAGCGAGCCACTTAAGATCTTTTGAATTTCCCCTTGCCTGTATATACACTTTGGACAAGACCTTAACTAATTAACACTTTGCTGTGTCTTTTGTTATATAGTTATGGCTTTGAGTTATAAAATATCCGCCAAGTTTTTCAAAGTGTGCATAGAAAACATTAAAATACTATGTCCTTCCACTTTTAAATGTAAACTCACATATGAAATTATTTTTGAAAATTGATCGCTGCATGTTGCTATTGAAATGTAAACTTGTACACAGAGTCTAAACTCCCTTATTTTAAGTCTGATAGGTTGCACACTCAGGTCAAGCTTATCTTATATAGACCTAGAATTTGAGGGGCAGAGAGTGGCGTGGCAGTGTAAAGTGCTGCTTGTCAGGAGAAGGCAGAAGGATTGTTTTGACAATTTCTGTGAATTTTTGTATTTTTATACAGGTGGGTAGTTTTATTTAAATTGTCATGTAGTTAGCAAAAGAGTTGGTTTGCAATTCACTGCAAAAACAAAACAAAACAATTAATTGATGATAAACTGTTATCGTGAAAGGTGCTAGTAAATGGAACTAGGATTTCCTAAACATTTGAACCAATATTGAAATATTTCTAAAATCCAGAATGTCTGTAGATTGTTAAATATTCCATATAGTGGATCCATGCACGGTTCCCAAGCCTTTGTTAGATGGCTCTGCTGCTGTCTATGCAGTGAAAACTTAAGTTATTTTTAAAACCCTTTCTCCTGATGAATTCCTCTCTCTATCACTCTTTTCTAATCTTCTAAAATTAGTACTGAATGCTAAAATGTATAATACATGGAGGTAGCACATTTTCAATGTTGTTCTACATTAACTACACTGAGAAATTATTCTGCAGTAGATGTAGAATTTTATTTTGATATTAGGTTGGCAGAATTAATTGTTTGTGTCACTAAGGTCAAAATAGTTGCTAAAAACTTGATTGCTTTACTGGGTGGATTTGAGCTTGCATTTTGAGCATTCATTAAGTCAGATCATCTTTCTGAATGTTTTATGAGATTTTACTGCTTTGAAAATATTGCAGGTGATGATTGTAAAAACATCTGGCTAGGACTTTCTTGCCATTAGGTCCTTTATCCTTGCTTAATCCAAAAGGAGTCTATGAGTAACCATTTAAATCCTTCTTATTTTCATGATGAAAATGAGAACAGTGGCATTTATTTTTCTAAATCATAATATATGCTATTTAGTAAATAACATTGTATGCTGTGATTTTATAATTTTAATATATTTTCCAACCTTTAATCCTCAGAATATGATGAAGGAAGTATAACATCTTTTAAATAACTATTATGTTTAAAAAATGAAGTAGCCAGGCTAGACCTAACACTTAAACACATCTGGTGTCATTATTTCTCTCTCTTCTGTTACAGCTTTTATGAAAGTGATTTGTGTACATAGAAGAGCAAATAATATTTTAATTTTAAATAACAGCCAAAGCCACCTTCGGTGCATACATTTTTAAAACATAAAATTCATGTCTCAAATTGTCTAAATTATCATTTGATTGAAAAGCTGTATAGTTGTGGTAAAATGTTTTAGCTAAGCTAAATGTTTTTAAAAACAGGACTAAAAATTTAAGCACAATAAGAATTTATAATCTTGAATGAGAATATTGAAATAATTTCCTTCAGAAATGTCCTGCGAGAGTTAAAGTTTTGCGAAGTGCACTAAAAGCAGAACACTTCACAAACAATTTATTTTTTTTATTAGAGAGGAAATGAGGACAATAGTGACAGAGGCATCAGTTAGACATTATTGGGCTTGTGACATCTCATTTCTGTACATTTTGTAGAGGCACTGCTAAATGATGGCAGTGTTTACAAAAGGTACTGGAAAACTTAGTTGACACTCAGTCTTCACCCCTGACCTTAGCCGTACTGGGTTACTAATTAATGATGCTTTCTTCCTTTACAACTAAATTCCTATCTTTGGGACCAGGCTGGGTTAACACAGATGCTGTGAGGTACAACAAAGTACAATTCAATCTGCTTGGCTAAAATGAGAGTGTAATCAGTGCTATTGTGAATGCCAGCTGCGAACATGTGGCCAATCTTTATCATAAGCTAGAAGGTATATTTCCCTGATGCTTATGTTTGATTTTTCTCACATGACCTTATGCTCACTTAATCTCCATTGACAAGTGTCTACCCAAATACTAGGTGTTTCTAGGTTAAGCATACACAGGGTATTTACTCCAATACCTATGTAAAAGATCCACAGAGAAAGGGAAAGAAGCATGTATATAATTTCCCTTTCTACAGTTGGATCTGCACTCTTATTTCTATTAAAATGTTTTTTTCCGCACAAATGGGTTGTGCGGAAAATTTTTAAAAATTTTTAAAAATTTTTCAGAAAGGTTTTCAATTTATTTATCGCGCAGCGCTGCGCATCCGCAGTGCATCCTTAAGTTTCACTCAGCGCAGGTACAAGGGGTAGCATATTCATCGTGCCTGTCCTGCATGAGAGCGTTTACTGAAGAAATATGACAAGAACATGTTCAGCTAATGAGGTCGAATGGTTGTTACATTAAATTTAGGCAGTGTTTTCTATTAGGTTTTATTTATCTGTATTTGCATTCAATCCTTTCACATTTGTTATCTTTCGCCCAATTCCGGGGACGGGGCGCCTTTTCTCATTTCGCAGCCAATTGTTACTGTGCGCTGACTCTGTAAGTTGCTGCTGAATGTAAAAGTGACTGCAATTAACCTGACTTTGTTGCTTGAGGAGAATTTGAGATGAGAAATCTGACAGCAAATGACAGGCATTTTTCTGGGTTTAGCACAGAAGAAAGTCTAAGTAACATTGCAAAGAGAGGCATTAGGGAGTCGGTACCTGCAAATTAAGTGGCTGACACTGTCTATTGAGAATTTAGATAGTAACGGCTGGAATTTTTATGTTAAGTTCACATTATTTTATATTCATAGCAAGCTTCCTTTTGAGCATT